ATCTGTTTCCATGAAAAAGATCGATGATTGATTGATGAATGTTTAATAATTGAAGAAAAATGACCAGTTACTTTCGACATTGATTCGATATAAGTCTTATCTTCTATTATTACTAGGCATGCAACGGTGACGATGCACTGCTCACCGTTCCACCGTAGAGACCGGTTCACCGGTCTTTACGGTGGACGGTGGACGGTGGACCAGTGAGCGGTGGGCCGGTGGACGGTTGCACCGGTGTTTTAATAAATAATGAATCGCCACTAACTTCAGTACTATAAAATAGGCATCTAAATATCAGTCCATGCATGTCATACATTTGAATATCAAATATTTAGAATGAACAGTACCGCCAACAAGAAACAAGTGTCATTTTTTGCCAAACCTTTGAAATGTCTGTATCGTTTCTTTTCGGTGTCATCATTGGCACCCTGTGCTTCGCAAGCATGTTGCTGTCCTTCTGAAGGCAATATCTGTTGCATAACATTTTGACTTGGCTCTATTATTGAATCTTTATCTGATCTATTTTTCTATCAAAATGCACGTTCATTAGAAGATAAGCTACTAGTCATCACCGTTTATTTATAGCGAACGAGAGGAACTTATTACCAATAAATGAAACTTATTACACGGAAATGCACTTATAAATACGAAGACGTGAACATGACAAATAAATGATAATGAACAACATGCTTTTACAAGACAACATCGAATAAAGTATTTGGTTGACATTGTTCATAACTGAGGAAGAGCGTCGATCTGTTTATCAGAAAAAAACATGCATGTTGCAAATAGAAACCAAGAGAACTTTATATACAGTAATTGACGCAACCAACTCATCAGAGGTGTGCGGTCCACGGGGATTGACCTGCGGGGGCCACGTGGTACGGGCGGGTCGGGGACGAAAATTTTTTAATTTATTCGGGTCGGGTCGGGCTCGGGTTCCGACAGTGATTTGACGATCCGGGCGGGTACGACCGTAGACAAAAAGGCGGGGACTTCGGGCAGGCGGGGACAAAGTGACACGGGTTCGGGCGGGGGGGCGAAATTTTTCGGGGATGAATAGAAGACCGTGAAAAATTTCCAACAGCAACAGATATCGCTTTTTTAACGTATATTCGAATAGTAAACAAGGACTGGTTCATTTTTTTCAACCTATCAACAACAGTCTATTTGTTCTTCTTTATATCTTTATTACTGACCAATATTCAGCTTGAATATTTATTGTTTGGTTCCATTGTAAGATGAAATGAAAACTAGTTCATAGT